AAGAGAAAGAGAGAAACAGCTAAAGAAACAGCAAACATGCGTGTCTGTTTTCAATATTTTGATAAACTTAAGGATATAGAAACATGTCGCTCATTTACTCCAATAATGTCATAACTCAAAAAAGCGAAACTTGAGGAAAACGGCTATAAATATACTGCCATAGGAAAAATGTATACGTATTTCGTTCTAGTGATACTCGAAATCGATACAGCTATGCAATTTTTGCACATTATAGAAGAAGAGGTGAGGAGAGAATGTTATTTCATTTCTTTCATTCATATATGTACATTAGACTGCATCACCAAAAAAAGTTGCGGTTTTTCCGCCGGGATTACAAAATTTATTATTTTTAAAGACGTTCACCAAAAAATTTCGAAAAAATATTAAGATTTAAGTGAGCTGGACCGATTTGAAAATACCTCCAAAAATGGAGTTTTTTTTATGAACAAAAATAGTTCCTTAAAGAACTTTTTGAAAAAAGTCCCCTCAGATGACATAACAGATTAAGCTTAAAAAATCTGCATAAAAATATTTAAAAATCTTTTCAACGAAATCGTAAGAATGAGATTTTTGATGCTGTTTTTTTACTTTTTTTCAAAGATTGATTTACGAAAAACTTGAATAACTGAGCCGAAGCTATTCTGATTTAGACTTGTGGGATCTCAGTAGAAAGGTATTTTCACACTGTTTTTATTTCTGTGCGAAAAAAAGTCATTCGTGTCCCATTTTTTTTTTCTCAAATACCAACACATCTTAATTCAACTTTGAATGACGTTCGTTCATCCTACCTTTCTCTTTCATCCTTTGAATGAGTTTACTAGCAAAGAAATAAAAAGGGTGAGAAAATACCTTTCCAATGACACCTCTTAAGTCTAAATTGGAAGACTTTATACGTAAGCTATTTGCAAATAAAAATAATTTGCAAATACTTAACTCACTGTTTATTCGATGGTGAAAAATTCTTTTTAATATTGCCTGATTATAAAAAGGCATTAAGATGACCATCGAAAAAGAAAATAAACCTAAGAATGGCGGCGTCTTGCGCTTATTTGCAAATAGTACCACTAATCAATACTTATTTGCGTGATTTAGTTATTTGCAAATAAAAAAATAACTCAGCGTTTATACGGCATTTTGCAAATTCTTATTTGCAAATAATACGTGCGTATAAACGTAGTATGTGATAGTGAAAAAGTGTAAGCACGGCCGTAGCAAGGTAGGTGCAGGGCGCTCGGATATAAAAATCAGAAAAATATTAAATTATTTATAAGGCTTAATTTAAAAAAATGGCCATACATTCAGGAAGAGTCTGGAATACTTTTCTAAAAGGGCCCCCCCTTAGAAAATCGCCAAAAATCACAATTTTCACTTGCGTCCCCAGTATTTTTGCGTAGAATTCGGTTAAGGATTATAACCCTTACTACATAGAATCCTCCTTTCTGTGTTGCCGAAGAAGAGAGGAGGAACCCCTCTCTTCGTCAAAAGTGTATAACATTTCTTTTGGATATAATTCCGGCTTCGGTGTCCAAAGTATTTTTGCACTTAACTCGTATCACAGTTGCAGTCTTAACATATCACTTTCAAAATGACATCAAGCCAATCAGATCGATATGTACCCAATGAAGATGGCGCCGTAAAATGAAAGCTGAGCTCTCAAACTACGAAATAACAGCTGATGTTAATACAGCGATGGTAAGCAATTCGGCAAGACAGATATGGTTTAACAGTGGAAATTTGCGGTCTCCACCTGACATTTCTGCCTTAACACAGTTTTTTAACAGAATCTGTAGAAGGGTTATAGACATAGCATAGCGGCTGATCCTGGCTGGTGTTTGGTGTTCTAGCAATATTTCATGTTTTCTGCTACAGTTTTCGCCATGAATATTCGCCGCATTTTTGTGACAATATTGCATATCATCATTTATTTTATGCGCCCATTGCCAACAACAACATTGGGTAATGGAAAAGCGTGTGATCGGCATGCAAACATGCAACTGCAACGTCAATGGCTACAATTGGATATTTGGCGAACGTGATTATAGTGGCGTCGTAACGCCAACTACATGAAGACACTTATGTATATATATCCATGCATAAGTACATATAATTCCTGCCTTAACAAACTAATCAAACTAGTCAGGCAGGTGAATGACAGTAAGGCCTTTTGATGGGCTGATTATCGTTGGCGAGGGAGCTTTTTGCTGGAGATTTCCTTTCGGACTTGTCCTTTGTTCTTTTCTTTATATGCACATGCATTTATGTATACTCGTTTAATTTCGTACACAAATAAATACCTTGTTTATGCCGACTCATAAAGCGCTTTGATCCACTTCACTGCGATTCAAAACGGGTGCATAAGGGTCATTACAAAATTTCTTTTAATAATAATTCAAACCGTCCTTTTTTCAGAAAAATAAAAAAAAACGATTTGAAATCAAATTCCAGTTAATACACTTTTGAAATTCGGAGCGTTGAAATTTTGTTTATGGGTCATTCCATACAATATTTACGCCTCAATATTTTTTTAGGTTGAAATATATTTAAAAAAAGTTTGCATTAAAAAATCGCATTTTTTATATATTTTTTTTTTATTAACTTCATAATGTTTGATTTTTATTTTTTTTTCAACCATTTAATTTGAGAATGGAAACACCAAAACCCTAGAAGTTGCGAGTTTTTTCATACCTACGTACATTAAGTTTATACTAAAGTTTTGTTGTTTCCATTCTCAAATTTTTGCAGCGTACTCCATAAAGTTTGACAACTATTCAGGTTGAAAAAAAATAAAAATTAAACATGTTGAAGTTAATAAAAATAATAATAAATAAATAATGCGATTTCTTAATACAATGTTTTTCTATTTTAATCTATCTCACACTCTCATGGAAAGCCGAGGTTATTACGCACATTTTGATACCTTAACTGATTTTATCCGACAAATAGTTTATTAACTGCAAACAATTGAAAAAAGAAAGAAATGTAAAAGAAAAAAATGTAAAAAATATATCTCACCCTAAAAAAAAATATTGAGGTGTAAATATTGTATGGAATGACCTATAAACAAAATTTCAATACGCTCCGAATTTCAAAAGTGTATTAACTCGAATTTGATTTAAAATCGGTTTTTTATTGCTCACATTGGTTAGAAAACACGTATAAACACATCACTCATTTGACGCGAAGTGAAAAAAGGATGGTTTTCTTTATACAGCCCGTTTTAAATTTGAATTATTGTTAAAAGAAATTTTAATAATTGTTCGCTTCCATTTCGGCCAATCGCACAAATCAATTATTAAAGAAATATCGAAATAAAACAACAAATATTGTATACTTTTGAATACGGTTTCAGCGAGTGCGCTGTAAAAACACTGGTAATGCGGTTCTTGCGTTGATATAAACAAGCTAATAGTTTAATATTTAAGTATTTGAAGTTATCAATATTTTCGTGTATTTCGGAGTATTTCACTCAGTTCTACTTATTTTACTTTTTTGCAGGAATAATGAAAAGCGCAAGGAAAAATCACGCGACGCGGCTCGTTGCCGTCGTTCACGCGAAACGGAAATTTTCAGTGAGTTAGCCCAGATTCTACCGCTTCGCAAAGAGGACGTAAACCAATTGGACAAGGCATCTGTAATGCGCATAGCCATAGCCTACTTGAAAGTTCGTGAAATGCTGCAGTTGTGTAAGTAACCGCTTGAATGAAGCTTGACTTAGTAAAGTCAGATGTATTGTGTTGGTTCTGAATTTTACTTCCTTTTCCACTTCTCTATCAATTTGAAGTTTTTAAGCTTTGAGCAATAAACCGCTTCCTACACTCAGAAAAAAGTCAGCTAAATATATTTCTCTTAAAGCATGATTGGGTAAGTATAACCAAATAACATAATTACATATTACCCAATCATGTGTTGAGGAAAACACATTTAGTTGACGTAGCACCGGGCCCGAATCGCGGCATTCGATATCGAATGTAGGTCGATCACGGCATCCGAGAGTGGGTGTGCTTCGCCCGTTTAAATTGTATTGTGGAGAAAATGGCTGCCATTTTGTTTCATTCGATCATTCGCGATTCGGGTCGAAATATTTTGGAAATGCGTATTTGTACATATGTTTATTTGATTTATATTTCTTAGATTACTGCCCATGCAATAAGTAGTTTTAAGAAAATTTGTGCGTATCCGCTAGATGGCCTGGCAGTCGAGATATTCGAAACATTTGTACTTATGGGTCCATTTGGTTCGAATTTTTATCATCGGTTTGCGCATAAGTATATAAAAACACGATAAGAAAAAAATTTCCTAAAACAATACCCGCGAGTTTCAATTTGGGAAATTATTCAGGGTGGTTCGTCATAATGGTACGTCGCTTTACGAATCAAGAAGACTACAAGCATATCGGACAGGAGGTCCTATTTATTCATCATGTTTGCCTACACATCTTATCCGGAAGCAAACAATGCCGAGCAATTCGCATTCTCTTCTTCTTGAGGCTGCGTACATAACCTCCTTCTATGCATATACTGAACCTATAGCCAGAGTTATAGAGCTTTGCAATTCTCACGCCTCATTTTTATTGATAATTTTAAACTTAACCTATACCTACTATAATTAATGTATCGTGGAACTTTGTTTAAAGGAAAGTAATACTCTGTAAGAAAACTAATTTCTGTAGACTAATGGAAATAACAGAAGTAATTTTTCAGCAAAAAACCAAACCGACTTCAAATCTCACATAAAAATTTAACAATACCGTTAATTTATTCATGCAAACTGAGCAAAGAAACGCGTTGTACCGTTTAAAAATGTTCATATTTAAATCGAGTTTAAAGTAATAAAAAATGGATTTTTCCATTATACATACACTACGTATAATGGAAATATTCAATTCAAATTCGCCCGTATTAAAATGAAGCATTTTTCACTGAACGGATGGCGTTTTGAACTTCTCGGATGCTTTTTCATATGTAATTAAGAAAGTATATGTATATGTTACCGGCCAACCCCAATCTTAGAAGAAACTAGTTTTGCCTAGGCTAAACTAGATCAGGGGCGACAGTATTTTTTGCATAGGCGGCCTTCGGCCACACTTCAAAAAAATAACCCTCATCAGTCCAACCCTAAGTACGCAGTCCACAATAATGTTGCGCCCAACTTGTTTCCGCAAGGGACGGATGTATCGGAGATAGGAAGAACTAGTTTAGCCTAGTTTGTCCTAAGATCGGGTTTGGAAAGTGAAAAGGAAAATACAAAAGCAAATATTTTCGCTTCTGGCTAAGTTGACGTGTTGAGTAACCATTGTACGATTTCTTACGTAAATTAAGTCTACACTAACTGAGGCTTAAAGCCGATAAAATTATGCACCGTTTTCTGAATTGAAAAATCAACATTTAGCACTTTGGAAAAGCGTTCATGCTATCGCATTTGTTTGACAAATGTACATGCATGCGAGTTTGAAATCTGCGTACGGAGAGGAAAACATGCTAAAAAAACATACTAAAATTGAAACAAATTTTAAACGAAAAATGTATACAAAAATTTTAACTGGTTAAAACAGAACCATAACCAAATATTTGTTTGTGTATATATTAATTTTTCGGTGCTGTCAATTAAAATTGCATAAACTAACACGGTGCTAAAAAAATACTCACGACATACACGACTAAACCAGAGATTCCCAAACTTTTTTTCTCGTAGCCCCCTTTCAAAACTCTAATGGTTCCGGTGGACCCCCGCTGCTAAATTTCTAACATATTCGCAAAGTTTGTCAACAAATATGAAAATTAGATCTAACGATGTAAATTTGCATCGCGGCTGAGTTTCAAGTTGAATTCGGGTGGCAAAAATAAAAATAAAATATATTCTTGTGTTCTATTTATTAAAATAATGTGATTATACACTTGCAAGTTTAAAAAATCAGAGCTCGTAAAGCCATCAACGTACTATCTCGCTTTGGGGAGTTATATTTTTTAAGGGCACCCCGTTATTCATATTCTCTTCACCATAAACTCCTCACATGTTCGGCTCACTCATGAATTTGCATTCGGCGTATTTGTAAAATAGTTTAGATATTTGTGTCGTTGGCATAATTTTTATTTTTATCGCTCCGAGTTTTAAAGTGATACGAAAAATATTTATCACTCACATTTTTAAAACACAAAATTTGAAACAACAAACCCGAAAAGCTTTTTTCGCCATCTTAAAATTCAGAAACTGACAATAGAGGAAATACCGAATCTAGAAAAATCGATGACAAATAACCAAGTAAAACAAGAAGCACAAAAAGTGTTCCAACGTGTCTTCCTCTTCAAATAGAGTTGTCATTTACGCCTATCGCAGTCAGGTGTTTGTGCCACGTGAAGTGAACAGTCAGCAGTCCAACAAGTTGATTGCAATTCCGTCTAGAAATGGCAGAAAAAAAAACTAAATAGACCTCCTGAGATTGAAGGCAACATCAGTTTTGCCCACCTGTATTCCCTCTATGTCTCCCAGTCATTACTGAGCGAAGTATTCACCCAGTTTCTGATGGTGGCTTCGATGGCCGGGCTGGTTGCGGATCGAGGAATGCCTGGTCTAAGCCAACTGTGGCCAAGTGGACAGATGTCTCATTACCAGGTACTTCCGAGCGAACTGGCACCCAGAGTAAAGCAAGCTCCTTATGTTTACCAACATAATTTATTAGAGGCTCGTATTTCCGAATCAGTCTGAAAGTACATAGATAAATGCCTTAAGTGCAGCTTGACTGTACCTGCAGACACGTAAACTCCTTCCCCTCCACCTATTTTCCACCACATAGTCTATGGCTATGGCAAGTATCTCAGCCTGGAGGACTGAAGCAATTCCCCAAGAGGAAAAGTTAAGCTTATTACCATTCACTTCGAAAAAATACCGCTGATCATGACCCAGAGTCAGTTTTTGAGCCATCAATAATGTGTGAGTCCGGTATCAGTGCTGGATCTCAGGGAACTCAAAATTATAGAAGCTCTTCAACAAAGGTAATGGTGGCGGACTATCTTGTAGCATTGAAAATACACAAGTGCTTAAATCTCTTCTTCTTCTTCTTTTTTGGCGCTGTAACCGCCTATGCGATTTTGGCCGAGTTCTGCAAAGCACGCCAGTCGTTTCTCGTCTGTGCCAACTGACGCCAATTGGAAACGCCAAGTGAAGCCAAGTCCTTCTCCATCTGATCTTTCCATCGCAGTGGGGGCCTCCCTCTTCCTCTGCTACCACCAGCGGGTTCCGAGTTGAATACTTCCAGAGCTGGAGCGTCGGTGTCCATACAAGCTCATACAGCTCATCGTTCCATCGTCTGCGGTACTCGCCGTCGGCAACGCGTAAGGGCCCGCAAAATCTTCCGCAAAATCTTTCTCTCTAACACTCCAAGAGCCGCCTCATCGGATGTTGTCATTGTCCATGCTTCTGCGCCATATACCAGCACGGGCATGATGAGTGACTTATAGAGGACTTTACTCCTGAATTGCCTACTCAGTCCAAAGTAGCACTTGTTGGCAAGAGTGATTCTGCGTTGGATTTCAATGCTGACATTATTATCGGTGTTAATGCTGGTTCCCATGTAAACGAAATTCTCTACTTTCTCGAAATTGTAACTGTCAACAGTGACGTGGGTGCCATGGCGCGAATGTGTTGACCGTTTGTTTGATGACAGGAGATACTTCGTCTTGTCCTCGTTTACCACCAGACCCATTCGCTTTGCTTCCCTATAACTTGGAAAAGGCAGAACAGACTTCGCGGTTTTTGTTGCCGATGATGTCGATGTCATCGGCATAAGCCAGCAATTGCACGCTCTTGTAGTAAATTGTTCCTGAGTGGTTCAGTTGTGCAGCTCTTATTATCTTCTCCAACACCAAATTAAAGAAGTCACATACATACGTATGTATGTATGTATATATCGATGGTCCTCTGCAATAACGATTTTTTGACCTATGACACAATTGCGACCCTGTCGGTTTGGAAACAAGTAAACATATGTGTATGTTCTGCAGAAAAATTGGTTACTTATCCACCCAATCCGCTATATAATTTAAATACATGAGTTGTGTCGTTATTGTTGCGGATCATCGATATGCGGTTAAAAAATTATATTTTTTTACATATTAGATGCTAGAATTAATAGCATCCGCCTAATAAATGTGGTCATCCAACTCCAATAGTAACTTTATTATTTATTTGCAGTCCCGAAAATCCAAGATATTATTGGTGAATTGAAATCAGACGATGATATTGATGAAAACTCCAATAGTGGCAGTCAAATTTCTGACTCTTCAGCGAAACAAGCTAATGAAAAGTTCGATTTTCTTAAATGCGCCGAGGCAAGCCAGTTCATTAAACAGACCTTAGACGGCTTCCTGCTTGTACTCTCAAATGATGGCGACATTACCTATGTTTCGGACAACATCACTGATTATTTGGGCTTAGCAAAGGTAACGGTTATTGAAAAAATGAGATGATATGACTTTTTTGAAATTGTTTCTTGAAATTTTTAAGATTGATCTACTTGGCCAACAAATCTGGGAATACAGCCACCAATGTGATCATGCCGAACTCAAAGACGCACTCAACATAAAGCGCAGTGGTCGTACTGACAAAATTAAAGATGAGAATATGATTGAAGAAAGACTATCTACAGACCATCGCGACCTTTTCGTGCGCTTTAAATGTACATTAACCAGTCGGGGACGCAGCATCAACATAAAAAGTGCTTCTTACAAGGTAAGACTTTATTGCCGTATCATACCATTTAGACAAGGTAAATAATCAAATATTTCTTTATCTACGTACTGTTTAAGGTTATTCACATTACTGGCCACCTGGTGGTCAACGCAAGTGGTGATCGTGTGCTGGTCGCTATCGGAAGACCAATACCACATCCATCCAACATCGAAATTCCACTGGGTAGCACAACGTTCTTGACAAAACATTCGTTGGATATGAAATTTACATATGTGGATGAGAAGTAAATTAACATACAAGCATACATAAATACAATATACATTTTTGCAATTGAAAAGTCAGAAATTTAACAAAATTATGATTTTCAGAATGCAAAATGTTTTCGGCTACAAAGCCGAAGACCTACTAGACCAATCTCTCTTTGCCTGCCATCATGGAGGGGACTCTGCCAAGTTAATGGCAACATTCAAGACCGGTAAGCAAAAAATAATTATCTTTTTTTAAAATATTTTATTTATCCTGTTTCTCGCAACTCTGAGCAGAGAGTAATGTCGAATAACCAGCAATTGTTGGTATTCGCCGATGGCAAATAAAGTAATATTAAGCTAATTACCTTAATGTGAGCATTAAAATGTAAAGCAAGATAGCACAAAGAAGGACGTGAATGCTTGATGACCGCGATATATAGTTCCCACTATGTGAGTTCCTCTAGGATTTAATGCGACGTTTGTTGGCGAACTTCGCACATAATGTATAGTCAGTACCATCCATAACAGCAAAGCAAAGCTCTTAAAATCTATCTATACAGTGACTGAAAAAAATGACGATGTTTTGATTTTTTTCAATATTCGTAATGTTTTTGTTACTTTTCTATAAAAATGCCGTCCAAGCTTTAACGAAAAAAAAATATAAATCACAGTTTCAATCTTTATACAAATTTAGGATAATTCAACAACGCACTGTGCTAAGTTCGCCTTGTAAATTATTCTTGCCTTTTTCCACTATTTCACTTTGCTAAGCCAACTACAAACAAGCACAGCTATTCCGCTGCAATTTACTTGATCATGTGGTTGTTGGTTTTGTTGTTTTTTGTTAATATTTCTATTATTAGAATGTTTAACTTTTAGGTGTGCTTGTCCTTAAGTTATTTGTTTTTGCTATTTTTATGGCCTTATAACAATTATATTCAACCATATTTTTGTTTAATGAATCTTTAGAACATTTTTGGGTATGCAGCTTTAGATCCCTCACAATTTTAGTCCACCGAAGTTTCAACCGGCTAAAAAAACGCTTTGGTTTTTGAAATTTTTTTTGTGGAGACTGCTTTTGCGTTTTTTTTATATAACAAGTGCAATTTACAAAAGCTGGCGATAATTTCACTGTAGGTTAGTTAAAATGCCAAAAATAAAAGACGCCGAAACACGTGATCTTAATTTTGGGTTGTAGATTACTGCCCAATAAACCGTTTTTCTAAATCATGTCATTTTCGCAAGATATCTGCATTTTATGTTTGCATTGTGAATAAAGAAATACAAACCTTCACATCCTGTTCTTTTACAAAAACAAAAGCAATAATTTCCACACAAATACACATATTCGTTCATTGACTTCAATAGGGTCATAACTGCAAGAAACCAAAATCGAAAAAACGGCTTCAAAGTTTTGAATTTGCATATCGTCGCTACCATGTCAAACTATCGAATGTGAAAATGGGTATTTTTCAGGTGAGCAAACAAATTGTTGTAAAAAATGTTGTGGCCATTAGCAACTTTATTAGAGCCAGTATCCTCTGCTTCTAAGAAGACTAGAAATTTGAAGATTTGCCAACTCGCGTATCATTCTAAATGCATGCGCAAGGTATCGTAATCGAAAAAAGCATTTTTGCACATTCGATAGTTTGACATGGTAGCGACGATATACTACTCTCATATTAAAATGAACTCTCATATTAAAATGAATACTAATCGACACAGCCACGAAATTTGTACACAACATAGATGAATAGGTAGCGGCATATATGTAATAATTCTATATTGCTAGTACATTCAAAGTACATTCCATGATACAATAACTTTTAGAAGGTAGTTTCACTTCTTCTTCTTATCCGCCATGTTAGCTATCTGACAGAAAACGTGTTTCGTATTTTTTATTGTACCATCTTTTTCAAAAAAAAATCCAGCTTTTAACGTTGGAAAAATAAAACAAAGAAAAGCCAAACATATAAGTAGAGAAATTTTCGAATATTTTGTAATAATTTTCTTAATAAAAAATTAACTGCTGCTTTCGTGGATATTGCAACACACGGAATAGATGTAAGGACACAGCTATAAGAGCCACCGCACACCACAGACTTTATCGGTCGCCTATTTAAATCATAGGGCTCGCTTGAAATATGTACATGAAGATGTATGGAGGTGCGCACACTACACCAGCTTAATCGCTCTGACCAATAAGTTGTGGTGCAATGGAAAGACTAGCGAGCACATCTAAATGGGCGGCCGATAAAGTCCGTGGTGTGCGATGGATCTAATCCATTATAAACAAGAAATATTGCTATTATATTTTCATTTTTATGATTTTTATTCATGTGATTAGCAGTGGCAAAAATGCATGTACAAAATACGTATATTTATATTAAAAATTAAGTGATCAGTTATGAAACATATACATCTTTACATGTTCTGTTAAAAAATATCTAAAATAACAAGCGATAATCCCCAAGTTCTATATCGTAGCAGTGGCCACATTGCGTGTTTGTCACAGACACGGTTTATGTCAAAAATTTTGAAGTGAAACTACCTTCTAAAAATTATTGTATCATGCTAGAAACATTGTTATTTGATTTATTTTAAAATTGGCTTACAAACATACTGTTGACACAGGGGTATACGGAAAACTTTTTTTGTTTGCATGTAAGGTGGTACGGTCGAATATACATACATATGTACTTTAGAGATGCCAGATCGAAATAAAAAAAAATCGATTTTTGAATCGATTCGAATCGAAATAAAAATAACACTGGTTTACCGCAAAAATTTTCCATGGATGCCACTATCCGATTCCCATGTAGAATTCCTCGGTGATTCCAAAAATTGAGATCATTTTTTCTATGGATAACTTTTCGAGATATATGCAATTCACCGTTACTCAGCTTTAAAAAATAGTGGTTTCACTTAATCACGTATGTCTTTCCAACCAATTGAATAATCGTAATACGAGATACGGGAAATAAAAGCAAATGAAATTCTCCATAAACTGTATAAATACCACTTTTCGATAGCCCTGGTAGTTTCTGATAAATTAATTAATCACTTCTGACACCTCTTGTTTTCGATGCAAACACTCTACCTACTCAGGTGTACGTGGCGTATGAGTAACACTCTTTTCTGCTGATAATTCATACAAAAAATCCTTGCGCATTTTCATTTGACCAATCATTATTTTGTTATTTATATATCGATTTTCTTCACAGGTGGCATAGTTTTTTTCTAAAGGGACAGGCTTTAACACAACCGCAAATTATTTACACAGAAGCTTTTATTTTTTGATTTTTCTCCCTGTTAAAGTTTGGATTTTTTGCATTTTTCCATCAAAAGCACAAACAATCGGGAATGATCAATTATTTTCTCAGAAACTATCAGGGCTATCGAAAAGTAATCTATATACGGTTTATGGAGAATTTTATTTTCTATAAGTTGCCGTACCTCGTAACACGATTATTTACCTACTCTTTTTTTTTTAAGCTGAATACCGATAAATTGCAAATATCTCAAAAAAATCCATACAAAAAAAAAATTAACTCGATTTTCGGAATTAGCGAGCGATTTTACATACAGTGGCGTATGGAGAACAAGATCTTAATTAAAACTTGTGATCCTGTGTAATCGATGCAGGAAGTTATCGTAAAAAAATAAATAGATTCCCCAAGATCTATTCATTAAATCTATCAGGTAGCTAACAATCCGTAAATAATTAAAAAAAGAACTGTAAGGTTTTTCTATATTAAACCAACGATATGAGCATTCAACAGAAATTTCAAAAATTCTTAGCCCTACTTAAGGAAACGGTAAATTTTTCTAAATTTTGTTTTTTTTTTTTAACACAAGTGGAAAAAATTATCTTTTACTTCAAAATTAAGCGACATTGAAGATGTTGCCCATTTCCTCCATAACTCGAAATATGGCAGAAAATGTGCATGAGCCCAAAAAAAATCGCCAAAAATTCTGGCATATTTAAGCTCGCACCTAAAATTTAATGGACTATAGAACGGCATACTAAATATTTTTTAAAATGGAATTAGGGTGTGCAAAATTTTAAGGAAAATATCCACAAAGTTTGAAACTCCAACTCCCTGATGAGTCCTGCAGTCGGAGAAGAAAGATAAGCAGGTCATTGAATTCTTTGGATTTCGCTTTGTCAAGTTAGAAAGGTGTGAGTTACCAAGCCTGCATTTTTTGTACTAGCCTCAAATTCAACTTTCTTAAAAATTGTATAGATTTTCTAGGGCAAAAAGTAGATCAATATGCATCAATTGATGAAAAATTGATGATTTTGGCCCTATTTTACTTTTAATGGCACTAAATATTTCACTTTTAAAAATAGTAATATTTCAATGCATTTTTTTGAAATCCTCTGCGAGTACTTCTTTTTCTCAACTAAAATTTTCTAATTTCTAAATATAGTACATATGTATATACAAATGATTTATCTTATTTAAATGATTTATTAATTTTAATGCTAAATGGGAAGAACTAAAAACAGCGGCACCTTTTATGGAACTTTTATTTTTCTATTTGGCACATTATGCCACTTTTTTTTTATCCTCAAAATGGCACTTCATAGCTAAGCATAGTTGGCA